CAAATACATATGAGCTGGTAAATCCAATATGTAAGCTACCTTCCTGATCCTCTCCACAAGCTCAAATACATATGAGCTGGTAAATCCAATATGTAAGCTACCTTCCTGATCCTCTCCACAAGCTCAAATACATATGAGCTGGTAAATCCAATATGTAAGCTACCTTCCTGATCCTCTCCACAAGCTCAAATACATATGAGCTGGTAAATCCAATATGTAAGCTACCTTCCTGATCCTCTCCACAAGCTCAAATACATATGAGCTGGTAAATCCAATATGTAAGCTACCTTCCTGATCCTCTCCACAAGCTCAAATACATATGAGCTGGTAAATCCAATATGTAAGCTACCTTCCTGATCCTCTCCACAAGCTCAAATACATATGAGCTGGTAAATCCAATATGTAAGCTACCTTCCTGATCCTCTCCACAAGCTCAAATACATATGAGCTGGTAAATCCAATATGTAAGCTACCTTCCTGATCCTCTCCACAAGCTCAAATACATATGAGCTGGTAAATCCAATATGTAAGCTACCTTCCTGATCCTCTCCACAAGCTCAAATACATATGAGCTGGTAAATCCAATATGTAAGCTACCTTCCTGATCCTCTCCACAAGCTCAAATACATATGAGCTGGTAAATCCAATATGTAAGCTACCTTCCTGATCCTCTCCACAAGCTCAAATGGTAAGATGATTGAACATAGACGACGTGAAATGATAGGAACGAGCCATTTGCTGAGTCGTACTATTGAAAGGCGTTTCTTGCGACCCAAGCTTTTTAGTATTTTATTTTAAAAAGATTTTATATTTAATATTTATTTAAATACTTTTCTGAAATACATATAAAACTTTGAAAGATAATTTAATATTTTAAAAAATTATTATGATTATTATGTTTTTTTTGTTTAAATAAAAGTCAAATCATTATTGCCGTACTTTGCCCGGATCCGTGGGAAGAAAACATAAATTTTAGCGATAATTTTTTTGAAAAAACTTTCAAAATATAATTTATCTAAATAGACACTTAGGGACCGTTTGTGACAGCTTATAAGTCGTACCGTTTGGTTTGCGCGTTTCTCCAGCTTATCTGAAACTGCGTTCGAGTTTTTACACTAAACACAGGCTGCGGGTCGACCCCTGCGGCCGGCCCGCGAGCCGCGTTTCAGGATAAACAGCTTATCCTGACCTGAAACGCACAAGCTGCCCCAAACGGACACTTGAGCTTAGTTTTAAATTAAATGTATTAAATTTAAGTTTTTTTTTTTTTTTTTGATTTGTAATTTTTGAATGTGATATTTAAGCAAATTTAATAGTAAATATATGCACATAATATCTTGAATATAAAACTGATTAGAATTTAAATTTTCAAGAAGTATAAGCTCTCAATTTAAAAAGCTAGGCTGATTGATAATTTTTTGATTTGGTGTAAATTAAAGATTAAATTTGCTTACAAATATAAAGGTTTTGAAAATAAGTTATATTTTTTATGTATTTATTTTGATGTGATTGAATGACTAAAATACTAAATAAATTAACTATGTCACTATATAAAAAATATATAATAAATAATAAATGCTCTTTTTCATTTATTATAGTATTATTAATGTATTTGCAAGGGAAGAGTTACCGGATCAATTTTAATAAACTAATCTAGAATAGTGATATTTGATGATTAAGGGTCGTTTCGGGGTGTTACTACGTCACAATTTTGTCCGTTTAGGTAAACTATATTTTGGTAGTTTTTTCAAAAAACTACCGTTGAAATCTGTTTTTTCTCACCAGTCCTGGCTAGGTGCAGTGACAGTTTTTTAGCTAGGGTCTTACTTTAAAAAAAAAAATTATAATAGCCACCGCAATTTTTTTAACATCAAATTATTTTTCAGGAGCATCAAATTTATTTTTTACAGGCTGCAGTTGCCCCAAACAACCTTAATTAATGTTAATTTAAATGAATTGTGTATTGATCGAAGCAATTCCTATAAAAATGGATATTGATGTGTCATCAATAAATTTGTTTTATTTGGCACGTGTTTTAAGTTTTTTTTTTAGCAAAAAATATTGTAGATTTAAATTCAAGTTCATTCAAATTTCTAATTTTAGTAAGTTTATAGCCAACTTGACATTCTCGATAAGATGAACTCAATGATACCGAAATTGGTCCCATCCGAGCCCAATCAAATCTAAATCGAGCCATTAAAACATATTTGAAAGCTTCACAACTTCAATTGACTATTCAATAGAGAAAAGATTGTTCATCCTAGCAACTAACACATGTAGGCAAATAATTAGTAAAATGCCAAAAAGAGCAAAGTGCATACAATTTTATTTATATTGAAAACTCTTACACAAAATAATCATGGGTTTTTAAAAGATTTTAGGAATGACTGCAAATAACCAATAAAATATGACCGACCTAAACCACATAGGGACTTTGCTAATCTTTTAGTCGATGAGATCAACCAAAGTATTCATGACTGTATCATCGAAGCTAACACTTTTGAACTTAAACCAACCATAATTTAAATGGTTCAAAATAATTAATTTGGAGGTTCACAAACTGAAGACTCAAATTTTCACTTAGTTAATTTTCTGAAATTATGTTGCCATTTAGATATAATGGTGTCTCAAATAATGATATAAGAGTTAGTTGTCTCAATTTTCACTTAAAACTAAAGCTAATGTGAGGCTTAATTCATTAGTATTGGGATCAATAACCACTGGCAATGACTTTGCCCAAAAATTCCTAGCAAAATACTTTTCATCTTCTAAAATTGCTAAGCTTAATAATGACATTTCATCTTTCACCCAGATGAATAGTGAGTTAATCTGTAAAGTATGTGAGAAATTTATAGTGCTTATTAGAAAGTGTCAACACCATGCCCAACTAGATTGTTTATTTATTAAAATTTTATAATGAGATGTAGAATCTTTGATGTTGATCATAGATGTTTTAGTCGGGGTTCATTAATATCAAAAAATTTTAGGAGGCTTATAAATTAATTGCAAAGATGGTTATAAGTAATTTTCTATGGCCTTCAAAAAGTGTGAACACTAGATGAGTAGCTAACATTCATGAACAAGATGCTCTATCCAATTTGATTGCACATGTAGCTACAATTTCTAAGAAGTTTGAAAACATAGGCTTGAATTCTACACTTTGATCACCAATAATTGACGAAAATACTTATAGAAATTTAGGTTATCCTAGTGTTACTTCTATGGAGTCATTAAATGTTATAAATAATAGACACAATAACCCTCATTATAATACCTACAATCTTGATTGGAGGAATCACTCAAATTTTAATTGAAATAATAATAACCAAAATGTAAGAACTCAATAATAGGGTAATAACCAACCAAAATCCTTAGGAAACTGAAACAACAGAAGAAATAACTTTAACTCGAGGTCTAATAACCTGTTAAGATTCTCTTCCAATAATCAATTTAAGGAAAATAAATAATCTTTGTAAGAATTGATGTTACAAATGGGAAATCAGATGCAAAGTCAAGTTGTAGCTACTAAAAATATTGAAAATTAATTAAGAAGTTAGCAAACTCATTAATTAATATACCTCATGGGACAATATGGAGTACCACCAAAGTAAGTCTTAAGGAGAAAGGAAAGGAGAAGTGTAAGACTATTAAATTTAGAAGTGGAAAGAAATAATAGGAGGTTAGAAGGGATGAGCCTAACAAAGAAGAAGAGCCTAAACTGAAAGGTATAGTGAAAAACATTCACAAGACTTATAAAAAATCCCCTCACCTCCCAAAAAAAGAATAAGAGAGACTATTACCTCCATTTTTCTAAAGACTTCAAAAGTATATGTTAGAATACCAATTCTCTAGATTCTTAAAATTGTTTAAATTGTTAATCTTAAACATTTCATTTGCTAGAGTATTATATTATATGCCTAGTTTTGATAAGTTCATGAAAAACATCCTTAATAGAAAATGAACTAGGATTATGAGCCTGTGGCATTAACTAAGGAGTGCAATGCTATATTATAAAGGAAATTATATGTGGAAAAAAAGAGGTGGAGATGTTGGTTGGGTATCTTTTCTCGTATACATCACAGTTCTTGAAAGATTTTTATCTAAATGATTGGATGCATCATTTGAAGAATAATATACTATCATGGGGGATAGAAATATTTACTTAAAATAGAGCTAATCATTTATATGAGAAAAACTTTTAAGATTTGTGGGTATTGATAACCAAGAAGACTTTTAATTAAAGTGTTAACTTATATTAGATATAATTATAAGGTAAGTGACTTAAGATTGATGTTGTAGGATCTCAGATTGATAGATAGTTCAACTCGTCCCTAGCAGACATGTTTTGTAATAAATTGGCAAAAACATGATATGAGAGAGAGAGAGAGAGAGAGAGAGAGAGAGAGTTGATTTTTACATTTATAAGCAACAATGTTAGTACAAGTACCAGATATAGCTCAACTCAGTGCTGATAGACATGTTATGTAACTAACATCGTAACGCTAGACCTGGATCTCCCCAGTTCCCTATTGTATGTTCTTTCAAGTGTTATGAGAATTCTTTGCAACCTTTAGAGGAGGACTGTAATGATGATGATGAAGATGAGGGAGGAGATGCCTAATGAATTTGGATGTTCTAACTTCTCTTTTGTTGATGCATTTTGTTTTATTTGTTTTTGTTTGTGAAACATTGTGATTGGTATTATTGTGGATCATTTTGTTGTGATATTTATTTCCCTCCATCTATTATGTTATATGACTATGTTAGTTTATGTTTTATTTTATGTGAACTTTTATTTCTTGTTATTATTTCTTCACTGTGATGCGATAAATCTATGTATAAAAATGTGTATTTTACATTTAAAAAATAGTAATAGTATCATTTATTTATATGAATTATAATATTAAAACTTTAAGTGGTGTGTGTAAATATGACAGTTTAGTTGTGAGATATGTAAATACATACGAATTATGTGGTATGTTGTAAATGCCCCAAATTGATTTGGTGCCAACTCTTATATGCCCTCTCTCTTTTGTTCCATCAACAACACGGGAAGAAAAGTGAGCTTGGAACGAGATGTTGCAGTGTATCTTTCTTCTTACCGATTCCGGGTAATCACACTCCCACCCACCTGCTTCAGAACCCTAGCCCTACGCGCATTTGTTTATGTAGAATTAGTTGTGATTTTAATTCTGTTTTTGTTTCCAAAAAGCGAGGTCATGCTCGAAAAGCAAATGACGGGACACAGAGTGGATCGGTCGATCTGTGGCTGGTTCTGGGACTATGTGATTTCCCAAGGAGGGGACTCTACCAAGGTTTTTGATTGCTAGGTTTATTTCTTACGATTCGATGTTTTGTAGGAGTTCAATTTGCAACTTATCCATTTTATTCGCCTTATGGAGCTAAATCGTCCAGATATTGCCGGTAATTGCATCTCCGACGCATTATATCTTCCAAATATTCCGCGAGGGGGTAACGTTTTTGGCTTGCACGCAGGTGGAGATGCCTCCACTGATGGGAATCGAGGTAAGGTTTACTCGTTTTTTATTGCTTTATTGAATGATGTATATTGTTTGCTCAACGCATGATGTTAGGGTATTGATCTTCGTGGAACATTCTAGTTAAAATTTTGAAGGGGAACCGTGATTGCAAGCTCTTAATTCTTCTTTGCCATATATCATTATGGTCATACATTTGCTAGCAAAGAAGGCTGACCGTGAATAGTTGTGATAATTTTGAATATTTGATAGGTGCTGTAAGTTGGATTTAATGGAGATGAAGTTGCATTGTTTTGCAAATGACAATCTTGACAACGATCGAGCCACTAAACTCTGGGATTATGCATGGGATGGTAGGTTCTTTTGAAGATGAATTTGCAAATATAATGGTGATGATGATGCTGATGACAAAAATGCATCATCTACATTTAATGGTTGTGAGTGTAGGTCTGTTTGAAAACATTGAGCTACCAGCTATAAGGCATGTATATACTTGAATTGGTGATTGAACACTGTATAATGAAGGACGTGTAGTTATTTTAATGCATTGAAACCAGGGTATTCTATTTAGCTTATTATAATCATATGATATATGTGATTTAGATGATGTGAGTGACTGAGGCTGCATCTGGGAATGATGATATCCAGTAATAAGATGTCAGCAGGTTAGGTTGGATTCATATTATTTGACTTATGAAACATTATATATCTTAGCTTCCCCACCAATGAATCTATGGTTTTTAACAATGAGTTTCAGTTTGTATTTGAAATGTTGAATAACAGTTAATCAATAGTAAATATAATGTAAATTACTCTTCATATCCTATGTTATACTCAGTGCAGGAGAACAATATTTGGTGATGATTCAGTCAAATGACAATTTATGTTGCTAAGATTCATTACTTTTTTAAAAGAGGCAGAGGAATTGGGAACAATATTTAAGTATTAGAAAGATAATTAAAAAGATGCAGTAAAATCAAGAAGAAACCGTACACTCGTTGTTCTATGTATTTCTGTATCTGTTGTCAGTGAAATGAAAATTTACGTTGGGAAGATTTATTAGCATTTTAAGAGCGGCAGAGGAATTTGGAACAATATTTTAAATATTAGAAAGATTATTATTGTTATTAGTTTTAAGGATGAAGTAAAATCAAGAAGAAACCACACATTCGCCGTTCTATGTATTTTTGTGTTTGTTGTATTTGATAGTCAATAGTAATATTGTAAAACCACCAACTATGTCATTGAGTGATATTGAATTTGAACTTCAATGTAGAGACCTAAGGTTTGAATCATGGGGGAAAAAAGAAATGACTTAAGGCAAAAGCAAATGCTCAATCATCGTACTTGCATTGCCTCAACTATATGGACATATGATGCTTGACAGGGTTGTCGAAACTCATGCAATATAATATGACGATTGTTGATTGCTTGATGTACAATGTTACCTAATTGAGTAGCTAATCCCAAGAATGTGAATGCCTGCTTCCCTTACAAATTCTTAAATTAATTTTAAAACGATTGCATTATCTTCAAGAGAATAAAATTATAGATATGTAAAATAGATTTGTGGTTATTTGCACTTGAAATATGAAATTAGTTGCACTAGAATAAGTAAAAATGTTAGAGATATCACTCGCTTCTCAATCCTGCTTCACGACTATATCCTTTTTTGTTGTCCCTTGCTACAAAGTCATAAAAAGCCAACTGCATGATGAAATTAGTTGCACTAGAATAAGTAAAAATGTTCGAGATATCACTCGCTTGTCAATCCTGCTTCACGACTATATCCTTTTTTGCTATCCCTTGCTACAAAGTCATAAAAAGCCAACTGCATGGATATAGGATGCTTGACAAGATAGCCAAAACACATGCAATATTAGAGGATTGTCGATTGCTTAATATGTGAAGTGCTATCTGATTGAGTTGCTAATCCCAAGAAGGGGAGGGCAGCCATGCTTTACAAAATCTCAAATTAATTTTAGGACTATTGCAATATTTTCAATAGAATAAATTTATAGATATGCATAATAGATTTATAGTTATTATCTGTACATAGAATATGAAATCAGTTGCACTAGAACAGGTAAAAATGTTTGAGATCTCACAAGCTTCTCGATTGTGTGTCCGGACTATATCCTTATTTGTTGTTCCTTGCTACAGTGTCATAAAGGCATCTATTGCAAAGTAGACTCAGTGAAAGACTACAATAAATTTAGAGTAGGTATTTGTTTTATGGAGGCAATTTTAGTGCTGTGATCATTTATAGAAAATATATTTAGCATAGAAATGATCTTCATATTATCTTAATTACCTTGAGATATGATCAAGCATCTGGAAAGGTATGAAATATATTTTGATTTTTTTTATTATATATATGATGAAACATTGATTTGTCTAAAAGTAGTTGAGCAATGATCATGGAGTTTCAAGTTACATTATGATTATATAGGGATCATTATTTTGATATCTTCTTGTATAGATTTAGGATGCTCTTAGATCGTGCACAAAATAAATTGACTTGGTATATGTTTTTCTTAGATGTGATAGTTCTAGTTAATGAGCAATTGCTAAATAAGTGAAATATTAGAAGATAAGTAGAACAATGATCAAGTTTATGATGTAAAATTTTAGTTTGCATGATATTGATGATTATTAGAAGATTAAAGATTCCATATGTATGATAGGTTTAGTTATTTTAGATCAATTATACAACATATAAGGATATCAATGAGGACATAACATCCATAGCTTAGACTATATAATTAGAACTAAGAAGTATTCTCGGATTATTTTCACGATAAAAAATTATCATTTAGACTTGACGGTAATTTTTGCAAAAGTATTGTTAGACCAGTGATATCATATGGATTTGGGTGTTTGACGGAAAAATTTTTTGATCGTCATATTTTTTATGACAAAAGAAGAATGGTAACATAGATGCATGACAAATTTAAGAAGGATTAATTGAGAAAAGATTAAAATTGATTGGAGATAAGATAGCAAAAATTAGACTTCGAAGTTTAGGCTTATACAATGAAGAGTAGCAAATGCACGAACTATATGCATGGATAAAATTAATATTGAAGGATTAGATACATGCATGGATAAAATTAATATTGAAGGATTAGAAAAAGAAGCTCGCAGACTTAAGGTTAACATGAATAGAAGTTGTTCAAAAATATATGTACAAAATAGATTTAACTCCTCTTGCAACATTCAACATGTATAACTAGAAATGAGGATTTGTAAAGTGGATGCCTAAATAGTTGGGATAAAATTAATGATGATGATGATTATATGCTTATCTCCATCTTATATTAAAACCAAGGAGAAGGTGCTTGAGAAATGCTAATCCTATCATTGTTTAATGAAATTTATTCAAAATCAAGTTGATAAAGCTATGGGAATTCTGGTGAGTGGATTGTTGAGTTATTGTGGAAGATTTAAAACTTAATTTTAAGCAACATTTCCTCACTCTCTTTTTTCACAGTTGGATTTGACAGTTCATCATACGATCCACAAATTTTTGTGAGTTTTTCTTTATTTTTTCCGGACCTATGTATGCTTACTTTTGAGCTATAATGCTTAGGACTCTTTTTGTGACATTGGCCATAGCAAATCTCAACTAAGTATTAGCAAGAGGCTCTTGGTGTTCTAAATAGAACCAAACAAGGCTTGAGGTTTTTAGGTATTTAATATTGATTTTACCTGCTAAATTACTTGAACCAAAGCTTTTTGTGTTTGTTAGGTTTTGGTTATTGACATTCAGTGAAAAACCGGAAAGAAAAATTCGACAAGTATATGCAATGAGGCAGTAATAGTAACCAAATATAAAATTAGCATGAAATATAAAATTTGCTGAAATTTAGCATGAAATGTCACATCCATAAAGCATTCTGTACAATCAGAAAAATAAATTGAATGCAATGAGGCAGTAATAGTATAACCATGACGTCAAGTTTTCTAGACTACTGTTCATGATTCCTTTTTCAGTAGTCCATGATAGAAAGTTGCAATTAAATACATACAACAATTTTACACTGTACAAGAAGAAGTTTATATAATTCTTTTATTCTCTTTTATCTTAAGATCAACTCCTGAAAATTATGCTATAAACCAAAGCTAAAGGCTTAAATAAGATGCAAGAACTATCTTCTAGCAACATGTTAAAATGAAACTAAACCCTAGAAAAAGAGAGATATTTGCTTTATGTTTGTGTTGTGTTACTCATAAAAGAATGTAGAAGTATTTGCTATATTCCAAATAAATGATAATTTGCATATATCACAAGGATACTCTGTAACATCTATATGCATCTTTCTCGCTCTAGAAATAGTTTTGATACCGGAGTTTAACCAAAAAACAATGGGAAAACAATATTATTGCTAAATTCAAACAGGAAAGTACAACCAACGAAACAGAAATAGGAAATTGTACAAGGATACTCTGTAACATCTATACGCATCTTTCTCGCTCTAGAAATAGTTTTGATATCGGAGTTTAACCAAAAAACAATGGGAAAATAATATTATTGCTAAATTCAAACAGGAAAGTACAACCAACGAAACAGAAATAGGAAATTGCAATTGTCACGACACCAACAAAAGCTAAAGGCTTAAATTGGATGCGACAACTAGCTTCCAACATGTTTAAATGAATCTGAACCCGAGAAAAAAAGAAAGATATTTGCTTTTTGTTTGAGCTGTGTTACTCATACAAGAATTTATAAGTACCAGCTATATTCAAAGTAAATGATAATTTGCATTTATCACATGGATAGTCTGTAACATCTATTTGCATCTCTCTTGCTATAGAAAGAGTTTTGATATTAGACTTTATCCAAACAACGATGAAAATAATATTATTGCTGAATTCAAATAGGAAAGTACAACTAAACAAATGGAATTAGGAAATTGCAAGGGGGGGTGTTGGTGGCTGTTAGGGACTTGGGAAGGTGGCGACAAGGTAGGGTGGTGGAGCAGAACAACTGAAACACAATAGTTCCTGGCCATCCTGGGTGGCGGCGACAAACTTGGATGGCAGGAAAAGTAGGTAGACGAGGCAGCAAGGCAAGAGACGGGCTGGAATAGCCATAAGCATTGATCTAGGTGGCGACAACGAGGAAGAGAGGCTGGAACAACAGGGAGAAGACGGGGAATGCAATTCTGGGCGGCGACAACAATAGATGGGCGGCTGGAAGCCAGAAGCACTGCTATGGGCGGTGACAGTGTGGAAGAGGAGCCTAGGGGCGATGCGGGAAGGATAGGGAACAG